ATCCGATGATTCACTCCCCAAGTGAGCCGCAACGGCCGGATACTCCGGGTCTCCCACGCGGGTGCAGGGTCCCAAAGCTTTGGGCCGTCCTTGACTGCTTTAGGCAGGGAGCTGGATGCATTAGAACCGGCGCCCATATGGGATCCCGGGCGTGCAAGGCGAGGACTTAACCACTTGCGCCACCGCGCCGGGCCCTCCCTTGGCTTTCCCAGTCACATTAGCAGGGAGCTGAATTGGAATTGAAGCAACTAATACTTGAGTCAGCATTCATATGGGATGCTGTTATTGTAGTTGGTTGTGTAACCCGCTGCACCATGGTGCTGGCCCCTCCCTATAATCCTTATCATTTCAGTTATGTTGTAATTTTTAGTCATTGTGATTGTATTAACACCACTTACCTATATATTCAGCTTGAACTTCATTCTTGATTTTGTTTTCCTTGGGGCCAGGGTTGTCTTATTTTTTTCCTGTTGTTTATTTTTGCATGTGTTCCTTAATTTATTTTTAAATTGCCAGATCTTTTTAAAATACAAATTTATTTAATTTTGATGGATGTAATTTTGACGTAGTTGAGAAGGATGCACGCCCATTTGGGCCACTGATTAAGGTCAGGAGAGTCGAGGAATCGGGGGAAAGTGAATGAGGCAGTTGTTTCCAGTCTCCTTTTTCCTTGTGTCTGGTGGAAGGAAGGGGGGAGAGAGGGCCAGGAGCAGCTCTATTGCATAATACCCGGGGACAGATGCCCACTTGATATCATCCCAGGGTCCCCAGTTGATGGAGCTCATTGGTATTCTTTGTTGCTTCTGCTCTTCTTGTTCTCTTTCTGGAGCTCTTTGTTGTCTGCACTGGTTTGAAATTGAGTGCTTCAAACCAGTTGGCCTTGGGATTTCCCCTAAGCATAATTCTGTGATTTCTCTCAGCCTCTTCCCCAGTGCAGCTTCTGTTTTTGGATGTCATATCATCATCTTTCTTCGTGGAAGCGCATCTGTTAGTAGCTTCCTTAACGAGATATTTTGGTGGTAACAAAAATTTGAGAGATTCCAAATGTCTGAAAAATAAGTTTAATTTTTATACTTTATTTAAACTAAGTATGTTTTTCTACACAGGCAATAATTTTCTTTCATAAACATGAAGGTATTCTATTTTATTTTTGCAGTGTGTCAGGTTAATACTAAATTTAATGCTATTTTGAATTTTTGTCCTGTATAAGAGAGCAGATTTTTCTATTCCTCACCCCCACTTTTTAAAAAATTTGCTTATGGACTTAAAAAAAATTGCTGCACATTCAGTAGGATTTTTCAGTCTGGAAAAGTTAGGTACTGAGAAATAGTCATGTGTTTCCTGTTAATGAGATACTAGACCTTGTAGATTGTTCTTTTGATGTTATTTTTTCTCTTTTGTATCCCACTTTTTTGTCTTTTATAATTTTTCTGAAATTTATTCTTCAGCCTTTTGATTAAAAAAATTGTGCTGTCATGGCTTTAGTGTCTTATGTGAGTCCTTGTTCTCTGATGGTTCACTTTTTAGCATATTCTACAAAATCTTCTCTTATCCCTCTAAATATTCTTGGGATGGTGGGGTGAAAGTTGGGGCAGCCAGCATGGGTGCTTCCTGGGACTCCAGCTGTTGTCTACACCCAGGATTCTGTGTTCAGGCCATACCTCACTCCTACATTCTGGAGCACCTATTTTTGTCTTTGTGAACTCTTTATGCAGTATGACCTGCATACTGAAAAGAGCTTTAAAAATTGATTTATATTATTTGAAAGGCAGAGTTACAAAGAGAGAAGGAAAGACAGACATCTTCCATTCACTGGTCACCCCCCAACTCAGTAGCATCCAGAGCTGAGCTGATCTGATGTTGGGAGCCAGGAGCTTCTTCTGAGTCTCCCACGTAGGTACAGAGGCCCAAGCACTTATGCTGTCCTCTATTACTTTCCCAGGCTGTAAGCAAGGAACTGGATATGACGTAGAGCAGCTGGGACTCAAACTGTGTGGGTATCACACGCAGAGGATTGACATGCTATGCTGTATGCTATGCTGATAATAATGGAGACCTCTAGGGTTGAGATGTTGATTATGGGATTTTTATTTATATTTTGCATTGTTGTATAGTGTATTAATTTCTATAGTTTATTTGGGTATTCACAGTTTTATCTATTATGAATAATTAAGTTTGCAGCTCTTATTTGAGTTTCTTGAAACACATGCACATGCATTCATACCCTCCCCCTAACCATCTATTTTTGCTGTACGTGTTAAAATGGAGTTGCTTAGAGTACACAGTATCAGCAGGTGCTTTGGAGCAGTTTCCAGAATGTTTCTTTGTACTTATTAGGCTCTGACTGTGCCCAGTGCACTGAGAATTTGAGTTGCTGCATGATCTTGTCTGACAATCCATACGGATGTTCCAGCATTAATTAGCATTCTAATACCAAGGGTGTTGTCTTTTAAGGATTTTTGTCACAGACTGTGAACTTTCAGTATGTCTTGTAGTGTTTTCAGCTTTTTGGCTCTTGGAAGCTGCTCTTTGTATGGTTTCTGTTCCCTTTCTCTTCCTGCCCACAGAACTGTGCCTGGCTCACTTCATTGCTGTGTTTTCTGAGGGATGTGAGCTCCTCAGCTCCTGGCTATCCCTTGGTGACTAAGCTCCTGTTAATGCCTTTTTGTCTGTGGAGCATATGGCAAGTTCCAAACTGTGTACTTGGCTTCCTGCTTGAGCTCCGTGTGCTGGGATAGGCAAGCTGGGGAGTTTTGAGCTTAACCAGTGTTGCTTCATGGTCCCTTGCTGACCTTAGTAGTGTGACTGGATATGATGGTCATTTTGATTCTTGTCTCACTTCAAAGAAGAATTTCCGTGCAAATATGGACAATGAGCAAAGCAAGATTTTACTGAAGTGTGAAGCCTCCTGCCTCAGCAAGCAGGAGAGGATTTCAAGGGGGGAGTTGCCCCTGTAACATGCAATTTCTATAATTGATCCAGTAGAAGAGTTGAATGAGTCCTAATACAAGCAGTTTGATCTTAGCAAGAAGTTTCTTCATATTTTTGAGTCTTGCTCTTTTTTTTGGTCAGATTTCCTTTCTTCACTCTGGTTGATTGTACACCTTTCCATGTTCTCTTAACTGTTTACCATTACTGATCTAGTTTTCTAGCTTCAAGTATTTAGTTGATGTTACTTTGCTCAATGTCTGTTGTAGGTTTGTGAGTATTTTATTTCGTATTTATTCTGCATTTACGGAAGTTTCAAGAAAGAATAGAGATGCTCCTTTTTTCAGCACCATTTTTATATTGTTTTTATCCCCGCCTTATGTACTCAGAACTTCCTTTGCATTTTTATGGTGAGAGATGTTTCGATTGCTAACTAAATTTATGGAAACCAAGGGAATAGTTAAAGTGACTGAAATTTCTGTAGTCAATGAAACTCACTAAAAAGATAGTCTTGACAGTGTATCCTTTTTTCTTTCCCTTTCTCTCTGGGATCCTCTGAATAAAATATCCAATAGAATACCAACAGATTGTCACTGCTGTCCTCTGAGAAAATACAAATCGTGAGATTTGCAGTTTTGCTCTTCCTGGTCCTCTTGTTGTCTTATTTATTCTTGCCAAAATTTTAAATGAAACTGAGGCAATCATATTGTCTTTTAGTGGTAATAGTAGTTCATTTTTATCATTACTTATTGCTTAACAGGTATATATAATTTCACCAGTTTTTTCCTAATTTGTGTTTTGATGTTACTAATAAAAGAACATCTAACATTTTTCATTTAGTTCTGCAGAAAAATACTAAGTAGCTAACAAAATTTCATTAAAAGAGAGCTTACTTTAGGTGGGTAAAATTTTCTGTATGTTCTCTATAGGGAGCATACATTTTCTTTTAAAGGTATGGAAGGAGGTTTGGAATTTCCTAGAGTGACTTGAACTCACCTCCTGTGTCAGACTGACTGACAGTCCTGTTTGAATCATAAGTGGGTAGGGTGGACTCATGATCAGGTTAGTATGTGGACCATCCTGCCAAGCTGTGTGTGGCTGTTTATGTGCTCATGCTTACTGTCATGTCGAGCACACATTATGCTATCCCAAATGCAGGAAAAGCAGGAAAATGTGGGAGGATGAGATGCTAGACAAGAATGAGTGTTGAGTTTGTCATGCTTAAGCTGTATCTTGCTGTGCCACGACCCACATCAGCATGCTAGTTTGAGACCCAGCTACTGTGCTTCTGAAAGTCAGTGTGCTTGGGAAAGCTGTGGAAGGTGGCCCACGTGCTTGGGCCCCTGACACCCATGTTGGAGACGCAGATGACGTTGCTGGCTTCTGACTTCAACCTAGCTGGTACCTGGGTGTTGTTGTCATTTGGGAAGTGTACCAGTGAATGGAAGATCTCTTTGTCTCTCCCTCTGTCTGTTTGTATCTCCACCCTTCAAATAAACAAATGTTTAAAAATGAAAAAGGAGTATGAGAACTTAGATAACCTTTCCTACATTCCTCATTTTCTCTCATTGACACATCTGGGTAATGAAATGGGAAAGTTAAAATAACTTGACCAGCCCAGTTCCAGTTCATCTCCTGGGCTGGGGTTTCTACTGGACACAGGAAAGATTGAAATTTCTGGGAAGGCAGAGTGGATGGGCTTGTGACCAGTTGGGTAGCAACGTTCACACCATAACCTGTCCTTGCTTGTTGTCACAGTTATGTTTTCTTTTTTTTTTATACTTGCTTTTTTAATCCTGATTTATCTTTAACTTTAAATTATTATAGAAAGATGATTAATATATTTTTTTGTTTGTCTTATAATTTAACAATGTGTTAATTTATACTTCAGTTATTTTTATTGTACTTCTAACTTAAGCCTTTATCCATAGTTTAATTGAGTGGGAGGATCTAATATTGAGCTATCATAGTTCTTTTCATTTTTGACTTTGTAATGTATGTGATAACTAATAAATATTAATAACATGTTTTTGTTACTTTAAACCTGTCTTTGTAATATTTTTATTTTGCAGTAAATTCTATAAAATTTCATCCCTCAGAGCAGTTGGCTCTCACTGGTATGTTGACTTTTTTCTTTACTGAACAGAATTATTGGTAGTCTTAAAACAACTCTAAATACGTCTTTACCAGTAGCATCAGAATTATCTGTGGCTTTTAGGAAAGTTAGGTAACCTTTTTTAGGCATTTTATGAGTTAAGTGAGAAATGAATAGATAGTACTATTTTTTAAAACCAACAGTGAATTGGTAGTTAGATTAAGTTGAATTATGATGAAATTAAAATGTATGTTGTTGAAATTGTTACACATTTTGTTATTGCCTGTGATGGTTCACAGTGGATTATAATACAGTTCTTTGATTACCTGCATCTGAAATGAATAAAAAATAATATTGAAATAAAACAGTTTATTAAAGTTAGCATTTTTATGCCTCTCCAAATAACTTGTCTAAGCAATAATAGCTTATGACACAATTTTATCTTGTAGTTTTACAAACAGACCTTCTTTGTTGCTTCTAAAAGGTAGCCTCATTGTACTAAGGATTTGGTCTATAAAATTGCCATACTGCTGTGGCTAGTTCTGTGGTAGTTTGGCAAAGTTGGTGATGTTCTTGAAAGGGAGATGTAGACTTTCAGTAGACCAAAGCTCCGCAAACTGTTTCTGTAAAGGATTAGATAATTAGTAGTTTCATCTTTGTGGGCCATATCGTTTCTGTCACCACACTGTTCTGGTGTTACACTGTGGTAGGGAAGTGGAGAGTGGGAAATGAAGAATGTAGCTCTGTACTAGTAAACTTTATTAAAGTGGATGGCTGCTTGGACTGGGCGTGTGGGCCAGCTTGTTAGGATAAGGGAAGAAAATTGATAATTCAGTATTTTGTGCAGATGGAATTGTTTAAGCAAGGAGCTCAATCAAAAGTACTTTCAATGTATGATATACAGAGAATTTTTGGTCAGAGAATTTTTATATATGAGAGCAGTATGGGGGAAGGATAATCTGAGAGTTATTTTAACAGGCCTAGAACATTACCAGTTAATTTATGCTTAAGTAAATATTTGAGGATTAAAGTAGGCAAAACATGTAAATCTTATTAAATTGATGAATTATTTTCTAATTCAGCAGTGGCAGTTGAAGTTGAATTTGTCCATATTCAAACCAAAGGAGGGCAGAAACCATGAAGCATTTTAAAAATGTAACTAAGAGAAACTTTATAACTGGGAATACAAGAAAGAGAAGAGAGAGACTAGTTGCTGGATTTTATGTTTATTTGGAGAGAAATTGATTAAGTCAGAGCAATAAACTATCTATCTTAAGAAGTGTACCAACATGAACAACTAGTGACTTCTTTAGGGAAGCTGTGAGGGGTAAGACATGACCATTGTGTTAGATCTGAGGCCCCGTCATGCTTCCCTTTGTCTTTCCGTTTCTTAGTTAAGACACTTTGTTATCAGCTTTGATTGGTGAACAGAGAGAACCAAGAAGGCAGCACAGAAAGGGCCCACTTAATAGATGCTGGTAAAATTGTAAAGCTATATCCATGTTAAATGGATGAAATGAATTTGCTGTCCTGAAACACAGCAAAATCTATTGTAATTTTAAGTTATAGTGTGAAAGAATTTTCATTTATTTAGTTTAGGTAGGTAAAAAATAAAACTTGCTGTTTGTAAATTTTCTCTGGACCTGCATAATTTTTTAGCCTGAAATGAAAGGGGAAGTATTATTACACATAAATATCTTAATTTTGTACATTTACTCTATTCTCTTTAGCATCAGGCAGTTTTAAAAAAAATAGCTATTTTAATACAGCATGTTTTACTAAGTGACCATTAGATTTACAAAGTCTTATTGATGCAGCTTAGCCAGACCATAGCAAGGAATGCGTTGTATGCATAGTATGCACGTTGGGTAATTTTCCTCTGATTTCTCTCTTCAGCTTCTGGAGATCAGACTGCTCATATTTGGAGATATGTGGTACAGCTGCCAACACCTCAGCCTATTGCCGACCCTAGTGTAAGCACATTTAATTACCCTGGAAACTCAACATGGGCTAAGCTTGCAGGGTTCTGGATATTTGCAAATTTTAGAATAAATTTATTTCTGCTAAAGACTGAATTGCTTGTATTCTGTCATCAATTCGTATTTTAAAACATTAATTCCCAGTGTTTCTGTATTTGGAGATAGGGCCTGGAAGGAAGCAGTTAGGGTTAAACAAGGTCGTGAGCATATGTCCCTGATCCAGTGGAATTAGTGTCCTAATCAAAGATAGCAGAGAGCTGTTTCATACTTATCTGTACCTTGTGTAATAAGATTTCATTAATCAATCATCCATAACAGACTGATTGTTTATTAAAAAAAGCTACCAGAGAACTTGTCCTTCCTCTCCTACTCTCTCATCCCCTCAGTTCCTGTTCTCTCTCCACTAGCCACGTGACGACAAAATGAGAGGGAGGCCAGTTCTAGGCCAGAAAAGAGCTCATGAGAAGCTCAGTTGTTAGGAACTTTGATCTTGGGTGTCTGATCTGCACTGGGAGAAAATACATTTCTGGTGTTTTTCAGTAGCTCAGTCTATTGGTAGTTTATTATGACAACCTAAATTGACTAAGATGGATTTAGGTATTGAAAGTGAGGTGTTGATGTAAACAATACCAACAAATGTGGGATATAGATGAACTCTGTTCTGTTTTAGAAGAGGTAGAAATTGCAAGCAGTGAACTTGGTTACTTAGCTCAACTCAGATTTGCCAATTGGTGATATTGACTGACCTGGCCTGCCCTGCCCCTGGTCTGTGCCAAACTTATACTGGTGGGTACTATATTTTGGTCTGATGTGGGCTGCTCCCTGTCTTGGTTCTTGCACTCACCTGTAGGGAATGTGTCCCAACAAAGGAGTTACCCAAGCTCCTCCATCAGTAGAAGGATGAGGCTTGTTTGATTGCTAGGAGTCAGAGTGTCTTAGCCCAGAACCTTAGGGATGGTAGTGTCCAGCCAGGTATTAGGATCTGGTGGGCAGAGTATTTGGGCCAAAGAGAATTATTCTCAAACTTTGATAACAAAAGGTTAATTTGCATCATCAAGGTTTTGAGTTGGCTTGATAGCTGTTATCTATTCTCTCTCTCTCTCTTTTTTTTTTTTTTTTTTTTTGCTGCTTGAGTGGAAATTGTCTATGTTATTGCCTGTCCAATCATAGTTTGGAAAAATATAAGTTGTTTATATGGTCACTGTAGTGCCAAGAGGCAATTTTTTTTGGCCTAGAATGAGTTTTACATCTGGAATGATTACACACACTGGATTTAGTGATATTTTGTTGAGACTTTGGATTCTATCGACTGGCGTTGGTGTTGGAATGATTTAAGACTTTTGTGACTTTTGGGATGGAATGTATGAGGATGCTTCAAAAAGTTTGTGGTAAAGTAAGATTAAAAGATAACATTTATTTTGGTATGAAATTTTGAAATCCATGTATAGTTTTTTGTTATTTATTTTCCATGAACTGTCTGAATACTCCTGTATTTTGCTATGCAAAGGCATGATTTTGGAAGACTAAGGAATCCCCCCCCCCCCAAATTTACAATTAAAATAAAAAAAGATTTGATTCAAAAATCAGAAAGATGAGACCTTGATCCCATTGGATTAGAGTGCATAGAAGAAGACATGTCTGGATGTGTTTGCGCTTTCTGTCCCTGTCACGTGAGAACCAGCCAGGAAGCATACTTACCAGAAACTAAATTGGTAAAGACCTTCATCATGGACTTCTAGTCTGTCTTTAAAGACCCTGAAAGAATAAATTTCTGTTATTTAAGCTACTTGGTCTGTGGTATTTTATTATGCCAGCCTAAGCTGGCTAAGATAAGGTCTAATTTATATATGTATATTTTAGCTTTAGCCTTCCTTTGCATGAATATTAAGCATCTTCCTTTCCTTTCTGTAAATATTAAGAATCTTCCTTTTCATAAATATTCAACATCATTCATTCTTTTAAGTTTTATCTTTGTTTCATAATGCTTTATTATTTAATATTAGACATTTACCTCTTGGAGATTTTTATTTGACAGTTATGGCATCATTTTTATGTGGGTATATTATAATTTTTTTAAAAAGATTTATTTAGTTTTGTTGGAAATGCAGATTTACAGAAAGGAGAAGAGACATAGAGAAAGATCTTCCGTCTGCTGATTTATTCCACTCATGGTTACAATGGCCGGAGCTGAGCTGATCTGAAACCAGCAGTCTTTTCCGGGTCTCCCTCATGAATGCAAGGTCCCAAGGCTTTAGACCATCCTCTACTGCTTTCCCAGGCCACGTGCAGGGAACTGGGTGAAAGATGGAACAACTGGAATGTAAACTGGTGTCCTGATGGGATGCCAGTGCTACAAGCAGAGGCCCGCTATACCATCGCACCGGCCCAAAACAGTTTTTGGAGGTGGAAAAATATTGTGCTGTAGTTAAAAACACTGAATAGTTGACTGAAATATTAAGTTCACTGTATTTTCTTCTTTATTACTTTTCTAGCATTGGCCATAGGAACTTTTCATTATTACCACTGGATTTTGGGGGTCATGTTGCGGGGTTAGGGAGCTCATCCTGAATTAACAGTGAGCCTGTGTTATTTGCTGTGACTTTGTTGTAGGTTAATTCTTGTATCCTGGGGCCCTAATATAGGTACAATGAGCACTAAATTGTATCAAAAAACAATAAAAATCATTTGCTATGACTTGCTCTGCCAAGGAATAGATGCCATACATCTTTAGTTATTGCTGAATACGAATAATTCATCTTAGTTAGAGAGAGATGCATTTTATAAGTTTTGTTTGGCCTGTCTTGACTCAGAGTTGCTTAGCAGTTCCAATCCTAGGCTTTGAAATAAACTTGAATCCACTGAAGTCTTGAATTAGTAAGCTTTCCAGCAGATGTTTTCTTTCTTAGATGTATGAGTGAGTTTTATTTGACATCCACAATGTTTTGCTAGAGAAGCATTTGGGCGATATGATGGAAATGGATTTAGATTACCAACTAAATAACTGTCATACTGTGTGATATTGAGTCATTTATTTAAGTAGTAGTGTTAATTTTTCCATTTAAAAGAGGATTGGAAGCAAAGTGGCTTCTAGTGGCTGTTGCTATGTGAGGTAGGACATTGGTGCAGTAATTCTTTGGGCAGACTGCTAGTACGCAGCAGAATGTTCATAGTATTAAAATGACAATTCTTGTATGATCTATTAAATGTTGTCAGTAAAAACAATTAAAATTAAGTGGATTATCAAAATACATACAAATAACTTATTTTTAACTCCTGCATTTGTAGAATTAAGGCCAGAGTTTATACATATTTTTTAGTATAGGACTTACCACAGTTTCCACTGTGAAATTCCTTTAATACCTGAGTAAAGTCCTGAGTTTGTTTCACGTTTTGGAACATAGATCCAGATTCAGGAGCTCCAGGGTTCCCTTCCATGCCCTCGGCAGATTATCCTCTTCCCACTACCCTCACAAACACACATTCCCTCTCCAGATCAAGCACACCGTCTTATTATTAAGATAATAAGTATTATTTTTTGGAAAGTCAGATATACAGAGAGGAGGAGAAATAGAGAAGAAGCTCATCTGTCTGATGAATCACTTCCCAAAGTAGCTGCAATGGCCAGAACTGAGCCAATCTGAAACCAGGGCCCAGGATCTTCATCTCGGTCTCCCATGCGGGTACAGGGTTCCAAGGCTTTGGGCTGTCTCTGACTGCTTTCCCAGGCCACAAGCAGGGAGCTAGATGGGAAGCAGGGCTGCCAGGATTAGAACCAGTGCCCATATGGGATCCCGGCACATGCAAGGCGAGGACTTAAGCCACTAGGCTACCACGCCAGGCCTGAGCACACAGTCTTAATCCTAAACCCCTTAGATGTTTCCTTTGTGAGGAAGTAGCTCTGTTTTTATACCTAGTTGTTTTATTTCTATCAGTAACATTTAATGAAGAGCCTATTGAGTTTACTGCTGTGTTAGGAGTACAACAATTAATAAAACTGAGAAACCTTGGAATTGTCTTAGACACATCCTTTTATCTTGCACCTCCCACATTTAGTCTTTCATCCATGAAATCTTAGATTATGGTCATCTACTTACCTCTGACGTTGTAATACCATTTCTGCACCGCCAAACCAGAGGTCTCCATTGAACACCCCACAGGGTGCTCTTGGGGTCATCAGCTAGAATGTTGGACACAAGACGTAGTGTCAGATATCAGAACTTGCACCCTTACAGCTCTAATTCTGGCTAGCCACTCAAGTACCTGTTCACAGGATTCCAGACCATGGAACTCTGGGATTGTGCCCTTCCTGCCTGCCCAGAGAGCAGCACAGGTCTCAGGGAATAGGATTCTTCAGGAGCAGCCCTGGGGTCTGAGAAGCTTGGTCCATTCTGAGCTCCAAGCATTTGCCAGGGTTAAGAATCAGGCCCAGGACCACCACTCTGCTTTTCCATCAGTACTTGGACAGAAGGTAGAGTTCCTCTCTGTCTAGATGAGCTACCTGTCAGAGGTTCTTTATACCTTGAGTATCATGTGTTGGGAGCAAAGCTCATTTTTTTTTGTAGAAAGGATTTTCTCACTGCTTTACTGTTCCTCATCTTCTCTTAGCTAGATCAAGGTCACTGCAGTCACATCATAACCAGGTTCCCTGCATCAGGTCTGGTTGCCCCTGTAGTCGCTTTCTCATACTCCATCAGGAGTCATTTGCTAGGATGCACATGCATCATCTTAATGATTCCTTTTGCCTTCCTGATAAATTCTAAAGCACTTTCCTTTCTTTGCTTTGCACAGCCTGCTTTGAGGACCCTGATTTGAGCTGTCTTTGCCAGTCTTTTTGTTTTTTCAAGGTTTATTTATTTATTGGAAAGTCTGTTACATACATATACAGAGAGAGAATCTTCCATGTTCTGGTTAAATCCCCAGTGGCTGCAATGGCCATGCTGAAGCCCAGGAATCTGGAACTTCTTCAGATCTCCTATGTATGTGCAGGGGTCAAGCAACTTGGGCCATCTTCCAGTTCTTTTCCAGGTGCATTAGTGGTGAGTAGGCTGGGAAATGGAGCATCTAGGACTTGAACCAGCACCTGTATGGGATGCTGGTGCCATAGGCACCTGCTGTGCCATATACCCCTTGCCAACTTTTCTAGCTTTATTTTTCATTACTATCTTCCCTATTCCATCCCAGACTGAACTGCTGATACTATCATGCAGTCATCAAATTCTCCCTTATTTTCCTATGATGTCTCCCTCTAAAGGCAGCTCCCATGTTCCTTCATGTGTTGGTCCCTTAACGATAAAGCATTGTACAGTTCTATGTACCATTTAGGATAATCTGAACTGGCTATAGTTCCCTGGACAATCATTGTTTATGTTTTACTTTGTCATTAGGTTGTAAATCATTTATCCCTGTTGAAACCTCAACTGGTTGAATCTCTTTCCTGCTGTACCTTTCCTGTACCTAAGCTGTGAGCACCCTGGTGACTGTCCCTATGAGTTGGTGACCTCTTCTGATGGTTAGCAGGCCCTGTATGGTAACACAGTCTTTGCACTTTGCCCTGCTTCTGCCACCCTCACTCTTTGTAACCTTCCAGCTGCAGTGTTTGCAGTAGA